TATCATGGTTGCTCTAGTATGTCGCTTGCCGGCAGAGCGTATTTAGTGCAGGAACGCCTAACCTTTAGACCACTGAATCGGGAGTCTGCCTACACGCAACAGAGTTGAACTTCACTGGTTAGGGTCTCTCATTAGAACTTCGAGAATTTCCTCACGAATGTAGTCACTAGTCAGCACATTTTTATAATTTTCATGATAGAATTTAGAATATCGTTGAGTTTTCGTTAGATAATGAACCATTCACTTTTAGACCATCATTAGAAATCTGAAAACGATGACCGGTGGAGTTCAACCCTATCGGGTGTAGACAGTTACCTACCGAAGATAATGGATGAAATAGAGCAAAACTGTGGATTGATCCAAGTTAGACATTAACACCATTGTATGCCAAATCAGTGGTCATGAAGTTAGGTGTTCACGAGCGAAAAACAAAGGTCCTTGGTTCGATTTCTGCAAGAGGGGATCATGTATGCGCACTATTGATGAATCCCATACTAGGAAAAAACATCAGTCCATTGTTTCCAAGTGTTCAGTAATGGTCTAAAAATGATCGATTTATGATCTCAATGAAGCTTTACCCTCTTCACAACTCTATAATCAAAATGAAAGTATTTTGCAAAAAAATGTTCATCGACTCACAACAAGCATAACTATGTTAGAACAGAACAGTTGACAAAGAATGAACTCCTGTAAGAGTAGTTCAGCTCTATTTTCATTGATCAGTAGTATTTTTTGAAAAATCAGTATTTTTAGTTAGTTACACTTCATATGTTTAGTTTTAAAGCAACTCAAATGTATTATCCATAAGTAGTGTATTCAGTGGAATGTCACCTGGAAGTTATTACATGACAAAAGAGAGTCGGATCTGAAAATTCGAAGACATGCAAAGGAATGAACGTCTGAAGACAAGATGTACGCATTACTTTTTTAATAAACTAAATCTCACCTAAATACGCTACTGATTCCATTTAGATTTTAATGTCTACAGTCATTGAAGTTGAATAAATTGAAAAGTTTGCATATCGTAAGAATAATCTAACTTTTTACAATCAATATCAACTATCTAATCTAAATTGATGTTGAGATGGGGTGGGGGAGTAAATTTGTAGCTCAGGTGAATGATTTTGGTGGAGTTTGGTTCCCTCGAAGCTAGGGATGTTTTGGTTGTGCAGCTTTCAACAGTGTTCTTCTTCTAAACAACAACATCATCAGTAGCACAAACTTCAGATAGAAGTGAAGTATTCGAATTTCTCCACACATGATCTGTAACTTGCTCTGTTAACCTCAATCTTGATTGGTTGTTTAAGGTCAAGAATAAAGTCAATTTCGAAACCACGAATCAATCAATGTTAGACAGCTATTAGAAACCTGGAAGCACTGGACGGCCGTTTCGTCCTGACCAGGGACTCCTCAGCAGTGCGCATCCACGACTCCTGCACCCCGCAGGATTCGAACCCAGTACCTTTGGTATTGTGCGCGAACGCCTAACCATCGGACCACTGATCGATTCATGGTTTCGAAACTGTGTAACTTAACAATCTTTACAACCCCGTAATGCAAACAAAATCAATATCTAGTCCAGTGTAATATCGATCTAGTGAAATTTATCATGCACAGTTTAGGTCTTTTTTTTAAAGGGAACATCGTTTTTTGTCCTCTTACAAAAAACGAATACGTGTGTACGTTACATTTAGTAGTTTGTGTTCTAAATCGGCAAACAAATTAGAAATTATACTGCGATACAATAAAATCACACACATAAATGTATTTTAATTTTTTGAAAAAAATCAGTACACACTAGATCAATTTTTTTTGTCATTGAAGAAAAGAAGTGCAAACTAATTACTGGACGGTGTTTTCGACATAAGTGTAGAATAAATGACTTTAGAGTAAATGATATTACAAAAATGTTTGCTGTTTGTTGGTTTACTGAAGTCCTTTTGCACATTAAAACAAATGAAAATGTAAAAACTTGAACATTGAATAGATAAACGTTGAATGAATATATCTGGTTTATGGTGTTTTATGTACCTAGGTTAGTTAGTCAGTAGCATATGCCTACACTATGGAAGGGTCTTTCTTGAGGAACCCGAAAAGAAAGAAGTTGGATTAGCGTTGGTCTAAGCAACCATGGGAGCTTGATCGTAGAGTTCAAGGGATAATAAATTGTTGAGGTCGGTCATGCACAGCCTTTTTTTATGTGGAGTTTTTAAACTGTTAGCTCTGATCTTCATTTAGCTTTATCGCTGGAGACGGAAATCCATGGGGTAAAGTGAAGTGTTACATTTTTAGGGTAGACCTATTCTAACCACTTTCTTCCATTTTGAAAAGGTACCATCATCGCACTTGCTGGTCAACAGAGGTGAACACCTTATTAATAATATCAGTCAGCAATACGATATCGCCTTCAAACAAACCTTAAGTTGTTGCTTTTAGTCTTACTGTTTTCTAGTTGACCTTGCCTGGTATGATGGTAAAAGCTAAAGAAACTTGTGTTCCAGCGAGTATAGTTCGTTCGGTTGGGTTATCTCGATAGACAATCTCAACCTCTATGTCAAGTTTTCACCTACAGTCCAGATAAATCTAGTTAAACTTATAAACTGTAATAAGTTATAATCATATAATCTACTTACACAAATAATTGACACATAAATCTAATCAATAGAGGTACTTGTTTACTGTAGTCAGCATTTTTTATATTCTAGCCGAACGATTAAGGAAGTCGAAAACTGTTTGACTTATTGATCGGGTGTCTGAAGAATTCGGTATTCCGCAAAGAGCCCTTCACCTAAGTTTCAAAAAATATTTGACACTAATCAGCAAGGCTTTCTTGTAATTTTCAACATTCCAATTAATCCATAGAATTTGATCAACATTCAATAGACTAAACAAACATAACGCTGGTCATCATTTTCATCGATCAATAAGTTATAAATGGGGAATAAAATGAAATCCATGAACTTAATAAAAATAATAATAATAATAGTGGCTTTGTTTCACATTATTTGTTTTAGTACAATATAGAATTCTCAGCATTGGAATATTTTCAACAAGTTTCCTTTTCTCCAGTACATATTGTTATTAGCCACAGTGATAGCTCGTAAACTTTTGATTTACGCGCTTGAATAGAATGTACAATTGACAGACATAATTAATGTATTAAAACAAACAAACAAATAAACAAACAAGGAAGTAGCTTGCTGGGTGAGATATTTGTTGATGTTAGAAAAATAGGTAGCGTAGATATTCAAACAGGGCGCCAAAAAATTTGGTGTATTATGTATGATGTTTATCACATGATTGCAAAGAAAATCAATACGATATATTTTTTTTCGATGAAAGAAACAAACATTCCGTACCAAATAATTTTGGTCAACAAAATTTAGTAAACACTATTTGAATATTTCCTTTTAAGAATACTACTATCAAATATGCATGTTGTCGATGCTTTTTAAAAGTCAAATTATTACAACTCTAATTTAAAAAAAAATGCAAATAGAGTTGTTAGTAAGAAAAAACCCTCTTTTTCTTTTGTTACAGTAGTTCACTTCATAGTTACTAAATTTGTGGTGCGAGCTACTTATAAGTAGTGTATGACGTGAGTGTCAACGTAATGTCTGGCAGCAGAAGATGGAGGAAGATCAAGAAAGGAAGAGTTAGAAAACAATGGAATTTGTATGAAACGCATGAATAGTGACAATGGATTGATATTTTGCAAATGAACGATTTACGATATGGTTTTCCTATTTTACTGAGTAACTCTGTAATTTTTTTTCAATACAATTCGGCTGCCCACCTGTGTTCTCCTTCACTACAAATTCCCTATAGATTGGATGATTTTACATTGAAACCATGAGCTGATTAATGTTGGACTTATACTGAAAACCCGGCAAAACACTTAGACGGCTGTTTCGTTAGAGTATGGGACTCAAAGTGAAAAATCGACGAACCCCGCACATGGGGAATCAAACGCATTGTTTTCACTCTTGTGCGCGAACTGAACTGGCACCCAACAAACAGTGTGAATGTCCAACTTCAATCAGTTCATGATATTGCGCGGCCCTATTGACTACGGCTTCTCAGTAAGACTCTGAGAAATTCCTCACGAAGCTAGGCACGCTTGATAAATGCCTTATTTTGGATTTGCGTACATTGGCTGATCAGTTGACCTTGAGATTTCATTTACCACCAGGAAAATCCATGGCTGTGATTGGCTGCTGTGTGTATTTTAGTGTGCTATTTTTGTGACTGTCCCAAGGACGTTTCTATAATGTATAAACAAACGAGAGTTGTGTGCTTGATTGTATTGTGTGATTGCTGGGTGTTTGTAGAATATACTATCTACGCTTACAAAGTCTTCTCTCTTCAGGTTGGGATTCAAGGTAGTCTATCTGGACGCCGGTTCGATGTCTCGTTCTCGTTTATCAACTAAGGTGAACTCGTAATAGCTTCAAGCGTACCTGGTGACGAACCCTACAGTATGTGTGGTTTTTTCGATCTATGCAGAATTCATGAAGTCATCAGTGATAGTGTACGTGTGTGTGTGTGTGTGATTGTACTTTTTTTTGAATCAGGATACTTTGAATTACACAAAACTAAACAGATTGATTATACTCGTTGTATTCAAAATTAAAATCATACAGACAGTGAACCGAAATTTCAAATTAATTAGCGAAATCATGAATTGATCTTTGTTAGACCACCGCCACTAGAAACCTGAGAAGCAATGAAAGACAGCGTTTTCTTCCCAGTATTGGATTCATCAGTGGCAGTGTGTATCCATGACTCCTGCTACTCGAAGAATCAGAACCCAGAACCTCCAGTCTTAGGGACGATTGTCATGGATGCGCACTGCCACTGATGAGTCCCGAACCAAGACGAAACGGCCATCTTTCAGTGCTTCTCAGGTTTCTAGTAGCGGTGGTCTAACAATGGCTGTAGTAACAATCTTCATAACTTGATCATGACAAATTAATTAGTTCAAGCAAAAATTAACTTACATTTTCTGCATTATCAATATAATATCCTGGTGAACATTCACATAGATAATTATCCATACTAAATCCAAATGGATAATACTGTTTGTAGACACACTGTAAGAAAGAAAATAGATAGATTGATTGATTGGTTGATTGATTGATAGGTATGGTGAATTAGGATGTGCATAGAATTACAATGATTTACTTGAAAGTAATTGATACTATGTACCGCCTTTAAATAATGAACCTAGACAGTCATGGGTCTCTAAGTATCGATTACTATCATCTCGCGGACCCCAACTAGGTGTTCTACACCAACCAACATGATCCAACTTGATCCAGTTGTCAGTGACTTCATGGATTCGTTCTATGCTTTGGTTTAGCCGCCTTTTGCCTTCTTCCAACCTACTCTTACACCACAAAGCATAGCTCATCGAGGGATTAATTTTAAATGGATATCTCAATTAAGGAATTCAATGAGAAAAGAGAAAATCCCAAGTTTCGAACTACTTACTAGTGACGAAATTATTAACAGAAATGAATAGTAACTAGCAGTGGATATTAGGACACTTATGTTTCGTTCGTCCTATCTGAGACTCATCAGCTATATATACCTGCATTTTAGAGTTGATGTTCATTCACAGACACCTGAACCCAGTGCTGACACACGCTTCAAAATTCCTTCATGTTTTTCACTTAGCTACTAAATCTAGATAGCAAAAAGGCTTGTGCAATAGAGTGAAGTTGAATTCATTTGTATGTGAATCTTCCCAGAGACATTTAAGACCCCCCTCCCAGTTCACAAGCCAGTAGCCACCGGGATTTACTAGCTCAGTGGGTAAGGTATTGGCGTTTGAAGCCAGAGGTAATGGATTTGAGTCTCTGTGAGTGAACATCAACTTTGAAATTTAGATACATCCAACTGACGAGTCTTGGTTATTACGAAGCATACATATTGGATTTCACTGCCAGTCATTATCTATCTCTGTTTATAACACTCGTAACTTAACGGTAATATTGAAGTAATCTGCATATGATGTAAAAATGTCAAAACGACTGATCGGCAAACTTGACTGACCTCATTTGTTAACATCAGTCATCAGTTCTTAATCTGCATATGATGTAAAAATGTCAAAACGACTGATCAATGGGAAGATTATTCCAATAAATCGGCAAACTTGACTGAGCTCATTTGTTAACATCAGTTAACATCAGCTTTAAGAATTAAAGATTTAAACCTGAACTGATAGATGTAAACTAGGCGCTTCGATAAAACAAAATCATTCCTGATTATTATAGTCTATTGAAAAGTCACACAGAGTCATCATCTGAAAGATATGGGTATTTATTAAAACATGTCTGTCTGTACAAGATACTGCGGATCCACTAGCCGGACACTAGCATCAACCAACCTACTGTGAAAGAGAAAAAACCAAATTCTAGCAGAGGAAGAAATTAGAGAAAAGCCCTAGAAAGTGGATACGATACACATTGAGGAAAGCATTCAACTAACTACATCACTTGGAATTCTCATAGTGAAAGGAAAAGCGGAAGACTAAGAAACAAATTAAGCCGAGAAATGGAGGCAAACATGAGAAGAATGAACAAACATTGAACAGAATTAGAAAGGAAGGCGGAGGCCAGAATAGATTGATGAAAGCTGGTTGTCGGCCTATGCCCCACTTGGGGTATCAAGCGTAAATAAGTAGTATGTTTGGTAACCGTAATAAATGCTGATGAATTTTTATTTAAAAAATGTAGGATAAACTGCAAATGATGGTCGTATAACAGAGAAATATTTCTGAAATATTAAACCTAAGGTAACACTTACAAATTCTTCTATTTTGTAAGAATGCATTGAAATTCTAGCGTGATTACATTATTAGAATACCGAGTACCGTGAAATATGTCATAAAGTCATACTGTTGTTGAGTAGCGACCACACAATAATACTAGTTTGGCTTATTTACCATGATGAGTTGATCGAGCTGCATTTAACCGAATACATAGTTCTCTCAATTCTGTCATGTTGAAAACGTTACTTAGCGAGTGAGTCGTATGAATAACTGTACAAAGAAGCTCCGGTCACGAACTCACATTCTTAACCCTACTTGCATGCGATGGCACTGGGGTGTTTCGCTCAGGCAACCAGTTTTCTCATCAATATTATTTTCTCACAACGGAACGAAGTGTAGTCGAAGAGTTCAATCAATAAAATAATATACCTATCACAGTAAGCTTTGAATTTCTATTGTCAGTAGTAAACACTTAAAACTGAGAAGTTTAGTAGGTCTGCAATCACTTAAGAAGAGACTGTGTGTGTGACCAGTAATGTGTTTACGGATTCTATGACCACAGTTGATTCGCTTTCATTTTCAGGTTTGTCAAGAAAGATTATCTATCATTCAACGATGTAAGTAAGTAACAAGGAATCGATAAATATCCACACATACATCTGTAGCAGTACTCATGATTTGCTCATTCATTGTGGAATCATCATTTATCATAGATTTTTACATGTCTTTAAGAATTTTAGAAAATTTTCTTGGAGAATAGTCGTGATAGCAAAAATTTTCCAAGTTCAATATGAGATAGATAATATATCACTGGTGTTGGATACCGATTGCTCTTTATCGTAAATCTAACGAGTTTAGTTATTTAGAAGAAGTTATTAGGAGTCAAAATTCATTTTGTTGGAAAGTTTCAAATGATGGCAGTTTAGATCTTTATTGTTCCGTATATATATATATATATATATATATATATATATATATATATATATATATATATATATATATATATATATATATATATTTGAGACAGTAACTCAACGAAGACAATGGATGTTGGTTGCGCAATATTGTGGATTAAATGAAGTTAAATATTAACACTGTTGGATGCTAGTTCAATGATCAAGAGATTGAACATTCACGTGCGAGACCGAAAGTCCTGGATTCGATTCCCGTGAGTGGAGGATCGTGAATTTTCTCTGCTGCTGAGTCTTATACTAAAACGAAACAGTCATCCAATAACATGTTTCTCTTGCAAATGAGGGTTTGAAAATATTTTGAACAGATTTTGTAAATAAACTGTATCTTCTCCAAATATATATACATCTTATCTAGTCATGACTTCTTTAGACGTCGTTACATTGCTACTACTAATCCAAAGTACAATATAAAACATATTACAAAACCCAATTCTTACAACCGACATTAACTTACTTGAGTTGTTGCACCACATCGATTTATATTCAATGCACATTGATCGATAACAAAATCTTTCAAATCGTATTCAAAAAATAAACTGTAAAAAATAAATTGAAGAAATTAAAATTACCTTGTAAATTGTCACAAATTAAAACTTGTCATTATTGATTATGATAATAATCAATATCAATAATGATACATTATATAAGACAACTTTGGTTGACAAACTACTATTGAACATTATTAGGCAGTCAGTCATATTATGGAAAATTTGAAGAGAGTAACCCTTTTATTTTTGTGAAGTACAATCTGAAATGTGATGATTTTGATCTATGGAAGAGGTGATATGTGTTGAAAGTTCCGTGTACAGACAGATAAAGCAGTAATTCAATATTCACTAAATTGTTGTCATCTATTGTGGTGTGAGCTACTTATAAGTAGTATATGACGTGAGTGTCAACATAATGTCTGGCAGCAGAAGATGGGGGAAGATCAAGAAATGAGGAAGAGTTAGAACACAATGGAATTTGTGTATGAAACGCATGAATAGTGAGTGACAATGGATTGATGTTTTGCAAAAGGAACAGTCCAGTTCGATATGATGGATTGATATTTTGCAAATGAACGATTTACGATATGGTTTTCGTATTTTACTGAGTAACTCTGTAATTTTCGTTAAATACAATTCGGTTGCCCTCACCTGTGTTCTCCTTCACTACACTCTGATTAAAGAAAAGAAAATTGTCTTTGTAACATTTTTTTGATTTGAATGTGTGACATTTCCTAGTAGGTTTTCATAGGACTGACTCAGTTAGCTTTAGACAATTATGAGAAAACTATGCTCAATTAGTCATTGTTCATAACAAAATATAAATAAAAGGAGTAAATATTGGGAATTAATACTAGAAAATTGAACTTATAGCAAACCATGAATTGAATAGTGAATTGAATATTTAACATTTAGCGGGAAAAACAAATGAGTTTAACTGGGACTGGTTTGAAACTAATAAACATGTAAAGCTTTTAAACATTAAACCAATCTGAAGATATTTATTAGGTGTCTTTCAACTAAGAATTTTATGCACAAGTATGCACAAGTATTCCTTAACAGTTGTCTACACGCAAAATACTTCGGATCCAATGGCCAGACAGCATCAGCAACAACCTACTTACTATGAGAGAGAACAAACTAGATTCCAGGATAAGCCCTCATTTGGAAACCTCATAGTCAAAAGGAAAAAAGAGTGAGATGAAAGAATACATTACTCCCAGAAATTGAGACAAACATGAAAAGAATGAACAATAGTTGTGCAAAGAGAGCTAGAAAGGAAGGCCCATGAGAGAATAGGTTGGAGAATTCCGGTCAGCGGCCTATACTTCATCGGTAGTAACAGGTGTAAGTAAGTAAGCAAGTAAGTAAATAGGAATTTTACCCTTCTCTATATGATTCAAAGTAAGAAACACAAATTATGTAGATTGATACGAATGTTCTGATCTAATTGTGAGATGTGCTATTTTAGTGATCGACCTCTTGGAACATACTTCGTTCCGCTGTGAGAAGAAAGTACTGCTGAAGAAGAAGAAGATACACATGTCATTGCCATCACATACACAAGTAGAGTTGGTGGTATGAGTTTTGGACCAGAGTTTGTGTTGATGCTGCTATTTATACCATTCTCTAACTAACGTTTCCTATCTGAGAGAACAGAAAGGCTTATGTATTAGACAGTGATTGTGTCATCACGATCAATTAACCAGATGCCTTGATACATCCAAGAATGGGGCTAGTCCGCTCGCCCTCTACAAATGCTCTTACATCGCTATGCATATGCCAGCACCAACAAGGAATTCGTACTAACTGACTCCTCATCACACAGTCGTTGTTTACGGAATCAAAAAGAAAGAAAATCGAATATCCATCCAACCACTGCTTAAACCTGTTTGGTTGGTATGAAGGATCCATCACGAAGACTTGGTTTACCCTTATTCTAAATCATCATTGGTTTGCATGATGGGCTCCATAATTCTGAGGAAACAAACAGAGTAGTAGTCACCCGCTACCATAGGAGAGCATCACGTAACCCTATGCTACTCACTGCCTTATGGATTATAGATTGTTTAGGTAAAAGGCTCGAGGAGTGGCCGCCGAAGAAACCCACCACTCATTTCAGTTTGGGCACCCGGACAGTATCCTAACTAACCTATTCACAAATTCATTGATTTTTGTGTATCGCATAAATGTATAAGTGTTCCCTTGTGATAATATTTATATATTCGAATCAATAAATTAATCAATAAAACCTCTCTGACTGACTTTGTAAACTCTTTTAAAACAAAACTATTTAACATTGAACATATAACTCAATTTTGTTCATTTACAAGTAGTTCTACTTGGTGAAGACGCTGACAAAATGCAGAGTCTTCTGACCACCCTAAGCAACAATGCTAGCATGTTCGGAAATGCGGTTTTCCCCCCTCGAAATGCGAAATGTTGCTTCAAGATTGGGTTGCATCGGCACCTGAACTATTGATAGGGAGTGAAGTACTAGGGTGGGTTGATCGCTTCACTTATCTGGGGAGTCTCATCAGTGTTGATGGCCTGGTGACTGACGAAATCTCAGCACGGAAACAGAAGGCTCGATCGGCTTTTGCCAACCTGTGTCACTTATGGTATGGCGTAGGCGGGATATCCGTTTGCTGACTAAAGGACGAGTGTACTGTACAGTAGTTCGCTCCGTCTTACTTTATCGCTGTGAAACATGGCCAGTGAGAGTAGAAGATATCCGTAGGTTACTGGTTTTCGATCATAGGTGTCTTCGAAGCATTGCTCGTATATCGTGGGACACCCGAGTGAGCAACGCTGTTATTAGGAATCGGGTGCTAGGTAAGAATGGCAGATCAATAGACGAAGTGGTGATACTTCATCAGTTGAGGTGGTTGGGACATGTGTTGCATATACCTAACCACCGACTGCCTCGTCGAGCTTTGTATTGTAGTGTAGGAATAGGTTGGATGAAAGCTAGGAGCGGCCAAACCAAAACATGGCAGAAATCCATGAAGTCATTGACTAGTGGACTTAGCCAGTTCGGTAATTGTCGACTACCTGGTTGGGGTCCGCGAGATGATAATAATCGATGGTTAGAGACCTTGAATGACATGGCTCAAAATCGTTCGCAATGGCGCCAGTGCATTTATTCTTTGTGTTCTCTCAAATCCTAATCTTCTGGGTTCTTCAACTTTGTAAACTTTTCCCACTGAATCATACTTCTTGAATAATATCTTCTAATCCTAACCTCTCCGATTACTTCTAGTACCTTTACTACCTCTTCTACTATTGGATTTGAATTGACAATTATATCTCTGTGTGCTGATGTGGTATGGTGACATGAACTGATGTACTGACGTACGAAGTTCTACGTTGCATCTGACTGACTGACTATTCATTTACAATCTAATAAAATGCATTTCAAAAAAACTTATTAAATATATCAACATTTTATTTTATTTTATTTTTCTATAACTGTGAACCAACTAAAAACAGTTTTCGTACACATTGTAACAAATTATATATTCAAATGTCAATCACTTTTTGAAATGAATTATTATCGATAAAATAATTCTCCTGTGGATATATCTATCTATATACAATATACATATAATTATTAGTATTTTAAATAACATCAACACAATCACTTTTAATATTCAAACTCATTTCTGTTAGATAAATTCATTATTTTCATTAAAACATTTGTATTCTGTCAAAAAAAACCATAACTAACAAACACCATTGAATAATACAATTTCTCTTTTATTGAACACTGAATAAACTTTTGTTTGTATTTTTATTATTGAGTCGGATAGATAGATGGACAGTTGTTAGTTAGAGAGATGGATAGTTAGATAGATAGATAGATAGATAGATAGATAGATAGACAGACAGACATATACGTACGATATAAAGTCACAAAGACAAAAGTTTCGGTCGTTCTACTACTACATTAACTGGAAATGAATTATTATTCCTCTATTCACTCTCATCAATATAGGATGAAATCGATTAGACGAGGAAATGTTATGACAAGATCAACAACAACAAAAAAAATTTTTATAATCTCAGTTAGTAGTGAAAAGCAAAAAAAACGAAAACTAAGCATGATAAATCGACCTAAATAAAATGAATGAAATTCAATAGTTATAGAAGTGATTAGTTGAATTGTTAAAACTTATGTGGTGCGAGCTACTTATAAGTAGTAGTATATGACGTGAGTGTCAACATAATGTCTGGCAGCAGAAGATGGGTGAAGAAGATCAAGAAATGAGGAAGAGTTAGAACACAATGGAATTTGTGTATGAAACGCATGAATAGTGAGTGACAATGGATTGATGTTTTGCAAAAGGAACAGTCCAGTTCGATATGATGAACTGATATTTTGCAAATTAAAACGATTTACGATATGGTTTTCGTATTTTACTGAGTAACTCTGTAATTTTCGTTAAATACAATTCGGTTTCCCCACCTGTGTTCTCGTTCACTACACTTAGAGCATAGTAAAGATTGAATGCATCTTATCATACAGTGATCGATTTTTTAAAACCAAAAATTCTACAATCACTAGTTAAATTTTTTATTGCTGATTAACAAAATAGAGTTTTATTTGGGATCATAGGTTGGTTAATGTCGGATCAGCATTAGAAACGCGGTAGCACTGGTCGACCGATTGATTATCCCTAGTGCACTGTACATCCACTATCCCACAAGCGGGATTCGAACCAAGGACCTTTCGTTTTAAGCGTAAACACTCAATCGCTAGACCATTAAGTCAACCAGCCTCCGACGATGTAAAGTTAGGAAGTTCGTACTCAAGACTAAAGGTAACGTGTTGTTAGATTACCGCGTGCGTCGTTGTGGATGTACACTGTCAAGGAGTTCGATTCGAAGATGAAAGGTTTTCCCGTGCTTCCAAGTAATGTGCGTGTGACTGATGGTTTATCACGTGAACCAATGCAACTGGTTATTTCATCTAAAAATAGTTTGCATAATTGGCTTATATCAGTTAGAGAACTATGGAACAGCAGTAAACTTTTAGGCAGCTATTTTGTCCTATTTGAAAACAATTCAAAAGTTCATGCTTATTATCACTTCACAAGAATAAATCTAATAATTTCATTCCTGGTGACAAGTATAATACTTTCAAATCATTGAGTCAAAATCTAACAGCCAATATTTCTAACTTCAACAAATTCGCAACAACCCAATATCAAGCTTGAAAATAATCTCAAAATCTAGATTTGTTAATTTCTTAGTAAACATCACATTTAAAGGGACTGGAATACACATTGCAAAACATATATTGACTATTTGCACTGGTGAATATGAATCATTGGAAATTATCAACAATGCTTCAGATTCAGAAAAAAAATCGCGTTTATCTTTATTGAAACTCTACAGTGGTGTACATTAAAGACCTTATCAGAAATTTATTTTCCTTATGCGGGTCAACTAGGTTTCGCGGTGATGAGTATGACGATTGGGTTAAGGATATAAGATCTCATTTTCTTAACTTCAGATAATAATCAGTGGTAAATTAGTGTAAACACCTATGTTCTACAAAAAGATCTGTGTTGTGTTCGATTCTACAGGTACAGTTAGTATCATTAGAACAACACAACAGTTAGTATCCTCAAATGCTTTGATTGAGGGAGTTCAATCAAACATAACTAGAAGACGATTTAAATGGCAACAGCACAATATGCATCAACCAAATCACACTTGATGGCGATGCCTTAGAGGATGTAAAAACTTTTACATATCTGGGCAGCATCATCGACAATCAAGGTGGATCCGTTGCAGATGTAAGGGCGCAGATCGGCAAAGCAAGCGTTGCATTTCTACAAATGAACAACATCTGCAACTCAAAACAACTATCAACTAACACCAAAGTCACAATGTTCAATAAAAATGTCAAGACAGTTCCATTATAGTAAGCGGAAACGTGGAGAAATACGAAAGCGATCATCCAGAAGATACAAGTATTCATTAACAATTGTCTACGCAAAATACTTCGGATCCATTGGCCAGACACCATCACCAACAACCTACTGAGGGAAAGAACATACCAGGTTGAAGTGGGGGAAGAAATCAGGAAGAAAAGCTGGAAGTGGATAGGACACACATTGATGGAAGCACCCAACTGCATCATAAGACAAACTCTCACTTGGAATCCCCAAGGTCAAAGGAAAAAAGAGGTAGACGGAAAAACACATTACGCCGAGGAATCGGACACAAGACATTAGAAGAATGAACAACAATTGGAAAAGAAGGCTGAGGACATAATAGATTGTGGCCTATGCTCCATTAGGGCTAACAAGCGTAAGTAAATAAGTAAATAGATAACAATTACTAATCAATCTATTATTATTATTATTATCATGGTTACAATGGGTGCCCCGTAGATAAAGTTTATTAGCAGAAAGAACACTTTAGTTATTGACTAGATTATTCTCATAGGTTCGCTCATACTCTTCGTGGACGCCCAACTTCGAGATCAACAGGCCGGATTTCGTAAGGATCGATCGTGTACTGACCAAATTGCTACATTACGGATCATTGTGGAACAATCAATTGAATGGAACTCACCACTCTACATCAACTTCATCGACTACGAGAAAGCATTCGATAGCGTGGATAGGAAAACACTGTGGAGGCTTCTTCGACACTACGGTGTGCCTGAGAAAATAGTCAACATCATACGGAATTCTTATGATGGATTCAACTGCAAAATCGTGCACGGAGGTCAGCTGACAAACTCGTTTGAGGTGAAGACCGGTGTCAGGCAAGGTTGCTTACTCTCACCCTTTCTCTTTCTCCTGGTCATCGACTGGATTATGAAGACGTCAACATCTGGAGGGAAGCACGGTATCAACTGGACAGTTAGGACGCAGCTGGACGATCTGGACTTCGCAGATGATCTGGCTCTTCTATCGCACACTCAACAACAAATGCAAGAGAAGACGACCAGTGTAGCAGCAGCCTCTGCAGCAGTAGGTCTCAACATACATAGAGGAAAAAGCAAAATTCTCCGATGCAACACAACATGCACCAATCAAATCACTCTTGATGGAGATGCCTTGGAGGACATTAACACCTTTACATATCTTGGCAGCATCATCGACAATCAAGGTGGATTCGATGCAGATGTGAGGGCACGGATTGGCAAAGCAAGGGCTGCATTTCTACAGTTGAAAAATATCTGGAACTCCAAACAGATATCAATCAACACCAAAATAAGGATTTTCAATACAAATGTGAAGACAGTTCTAATGTATGGAGCGGAAACATGGAGAACTACCAAAGCCATCATCCAGAGGATACAAGTGTTTATTAACAGCTGTCTACGTAAAATACTTCGTATTCGTTGGCCAGACACCATCAGCAACAGCGAACTGTGGAAGAGAACAAGTCAGATTCCATTGGAGGAGGAAATCAGGAAGAAGCGGTGGAAGTGGATAGGACACACTCTACGAAAAGCACCTAACTGCGTCACGAGACAAGCCCTCACATGGAACCCTCAAGGCAAAAGGAAAAGAGGAAGGCCAAAGAATACATTACGCCGAGAAATAGAGAAAGATATGAGAGGAATGAACAAACATTGGACAGAACTGGAGAGAGAAGCCCAGGACAGAGTTGGTTGGAGAAAACTGGTGAGCGGCCTATGCTCCATTTGGGGTAACAGGCGAAAGTAAGTAAGTAAGTAAGTTCGCTCATACTCCTTTTATTTTCATTAAGATCCAGCGGGCCCATTTTTACCACTTGGTTTGGAAACGACATTTTCAAACTCTTCTCTCGGTTTTAATCTTCCCACCAACCACGTTTAAGCCATGGTTGAACATTCACTATTCCTTCTTTCGATTTCGCAAACACCACCTATGTAATAAGGAATTCTTTGTTGCTGGTGGTAATATATGTCTGGTCATGTGAGAGTTTATACCAGAAGAGCGCAGTCTACCTACTCTCGACCGTACAAAGACATTTATTTATATTGTGGACTTCATTGATTGTGTGAAAGTTTAACGAAACTGATCGGAATTTAATAAAACAATAGGGTTGAAACTCGCAGATCATCTTCCTGCTCTATATCACATATAATAGCAAACTCAGTAGATGCAAACGACCCAGTGTGCCAACAGACTATTCAGCAGTAAATAACTAACACCAACTAAATTATACTTGATAAAGAAGCTTTGGAAGATATGAAAACCTTTTTATTTACATACCAGTGCAGCATCAATGATGAGCCCGGTGGATCTGATCTGCAAATGTAAAATGCTCGGATTGGAAAAGCTAGGGCATTATTTCGACAAGTGAAGAATATAGGCGACTGAAAAAACAACCGCCTTTTAGCCATCAGCAAAGTCACAATTCTCAATGCAAACGTCATGACAGTCAAATTGTATGGAGCAGAAACTTGGAGAACTATAAAAGCCATCATTCAAAAGATACAGGTAATTATTGACAGCTATCAGCAATAAATACCAGAAATCATCATCAACAACCTACTTACTGTGAGAGAGAATACACCAGACTCCAGATGAGAAGGAAATCAAGGAAAAGTGCTAGGGTTAGTTGGATAGGACACACATTATGGAAATCATCGAATTGTATCACGAGGCAAGCCCTAACTTGGAATTCTTAAGGCGAAAGAAAAAGCCGTAGGCATTGCCCTGAGAAGTGAAGACAAGCATGAAAAAAATGAATAGTACTTGGGAACAGCTGGAAAGAAGAGCCTGTGACAGAGTTGGTTGAAGAGTGTGCTGGTCAGTGACCTATGATTGACGAGGGATGAAAGATGTGATTAAGTAAGCAACATATCAATTTAAACTCGTATTAGATCAGTACAATATTCCATGTTTTTTACTCAAAACCTCAAAATGAGTGTTGTCTGCTTATCTTTTTCGAGTATTATTGATTGACAAATTCAGCGTTTTACATGAAAAGATTGTTTATTTGAATATGATAACTTTGATGTCAGGTGGTGGGATCCAGGGAACACGTTTCTTTTTATTTAAGACTCTTCCTGTGAATATACCCAGATCTCAGAGCTGATGTTCATTCTGAGACTCGAACCGATGATAGTTTGTTTCGACAGCCATCGCATCACCCACCCACTTAACTACTGAGGCCATATAGCCAGTGAATTTTTCAATGGCGTCCTCAAACAGCCAATGAAAATTCATTCTCGCAAGCCATTGGTTTTCTAAACTCAGTATATATATAAACGGATGACAAGATAGCTTTGAAACGAACGGTACTAGGTTCGAGTTTAAGAGTGAAACTCAACTCTGGATTGCAGGGATATTCAGCTGATGAGGAGCAGGTAGGACTAAACGTATGTACTGAATTCTATTGATGACTACAATCTATCATTGTTTATAATACTTCTAACCTAATAGCAATAATGAGGCAATCTTATTTGAATACAAGGGTGGTGGTATACATATTACGTAAATACATTAAAATCGATTTGAATAACTTCAGTTGTAATACCGTGTAATAAATAATTACGATCACAATGGAGCAAATATGTGCACTCTTTATATTCTCTGAGATAATGAGTCACATTCTTTTTCCACACACCTATGAATATGTCCAGCGTCCGAAAGCTGGACGTAATACTAGGTAGATGAGAAAGCATGATTGAAAGAGAAGGTCTATTTGGATAGCGAAGAATATTCGCAAGTACTCGCAGTTATATATATATATATATATATATATATATATATATATATATTCCCCTTAGAAAATGAAATCATATCTTGACCAATAATATGCATTCATCGTTTAAGGTATTTCTGATGGCCAACAAATGGCCTTCTCACTTTGCCACTTCTGATTGGCTCACTATGTCAACAATACTTTTACATTCCGTTTTTAAGCAAACTTTCTCAATATTTCCATAATCACTGATATCATCATTACGTTAATTTTTATCGATTGATCAGCATTTAAAAATTTACCAATCAATAATAATTAACAGATTAAACTTGTGTGACTTATCGAAAAACCTACCATTTTTCTTTTGTACAAATAAAATATCGTAAAACAATTGGTAGCGCAGAATTGGATTCACATTGAACTGGTGCCCAAAATGATGAAAATTCACCATATTGAAAATCATTAAAACGAATAGTGCCATTATTATTATTATTTTCATTATTACTACTACTACTACTACTACTTCCAAATAATTGAACATTGAATAGAAATCGACTACAAATATCATCATCATCATCATTATTATTAGATTTGATAGAATTACTACTATCAGAAAAACTACTAATCATTGTGTAATTATTTACATAAGCCATTAATAAACCATTGGAACAATAACCAATCCCGTGTAAATTGGATTTTGAATAATTGTTCAATGTTAAATTTCGCAATAAATCATTATCAACATCTTTCATTTGAATCGGTTGAGTTAATTCTAACAAATTCATTAAATATAATTTTAATTGTTGTTTTTTTGGCGAATAATTATTAATCAGATTATTATTATTATTCTCAGTAAAACGATTGAAATATCGCATAATTTCTATAGATCTATGTATATCTTGAAGAAAATTTTGTGTTAATGATTGTTGCGTGATTAAACGATCAAAAATTGGATAGAATGTATCATTTAAATTAATCACTGTGGTTGTAGTCATTGTTGTGGATGCTGACGGCGAAAGATCATTGTCAGTAGTAGTAGTAGTAGTAGTAGTAGTAGTAGTAGTAGTAGTAGTAGTAGTAGCTGAATTAGAAGTTTGTTGTTTGTTTGAATTGATTAGACATAGATTTTTGTTCAATGTTGAAGAATGAACAAAGCTGACAAGTTTACGTAGCATTCTTTCATCATGTATACGTGTATTGAGACCATTTGTTAGGCTTGTAATAATAATACACCAGATCAATGAATAGGTTAGTAAATTTTGACTAATCTTGAAAATTGTGCTCATTTTTTTTTGTTTTCTGTTAGATGGAATTTTTTACATTGAAAAGCTTTACGAATATTTATTGATTATGTGCATGGAAGAAATGAGAATAAATAATACTGACAGAAATTGATGATGATTATTATAATAATATATATGATGTGTATGCGGCCTCAGTTGTAGTAGTTATTCCATTTTTTTTTTTTTGACTAGTGTAAGTTATATATTTATAGATGATCCATAATTGTTTTTTATGGAAATTTTAAAAAATAATGTATTCAATGTTCCAATATTTTAGTGTATCAGTTGTTTTAGAATGCAAATCTTGTTGTCCCTAAATTAAACAAACAAACAATATCGTGGCAAAATCAACTAGACGAGGAAAGTTTACACTTACACACATAGGCATGCATACGCGCATTCATATACACATGAAATAATGCTTGTATTTTCTAAAATATATGTATATGTATATATATATATATACGTCCATATGTGTGATACACACATAACATACAGCATTACATTATTGTGGCTATGATTATGATTACTGTTATTATTATTATTATTATTATTATGTAGCTTTTTGTTCCACCTTTTTTAGGGACATTTCAAACGATGGTCTGATTTTCCGTATCATTCGACAATGATTGGCTAACACGAAAATTTCCCAACTGATATGATTGGATAGTTCAATTCAGGGTAAATATGATTGGTCAGTTAGTTAGTTGGTTAGTTAATCAATCACACAGTGTTTGAAAACTCAGTAGTCAGTGCCGAATTTTATATATATTCAAATGAAATGTCAACTGTCATATCAATAAATAAATTAAATAATTCAGAAAATTAATATTGAATGTTGAAATGTTGTGCGTAGTAGTAGTAATAGTCAAGATTGTCAGACTTGAAATCGTTTTTCTAAAGGATTATTATTGAAAAATAACGTTTGGCCATTTACAGTAGTTTAAAACAGATATGATAGGGTATGACAGAAGTGATTAACTCTTTTATTTGTGTGTGTATGTGTGTGTACGTGTGTGTAAAAGTACTCGCTAAGATGTGTTAACTCGCTGATATCTACAAGTGATACATAGAGTAATCAAATGTTGTAATGCATAGATTATTATTGATTATGAAAAGTGGCATACTAGGTGGTCAAAAATAAAAGATGGTAGGTAGAAAAAAATATTTGTAGTTCATTTGAAGTGAAGTCCTAGTATCCACTGCCCGTGAATGCCCTGGTACAACCAAGAGTAGGTAAAATCCACGCTCCCTTTCCAAATGTTCCCACATCACTGCGCATATGTCACCGCCAACTAGGAAGTCCTACTCATTGACCTCTCACTACGGCGGTGTCGTTTAAAAAATGGAAAGGAAGGAAAGCGAATGTACAACCACGGTCAATGAGTACGGGGGATTCAGTGAGAACAGTTGA